TCATCAGGTGGGCAAAAACGCACAACTCAAGGTAGACCTATGTTCACAGAACGCTTATTCTGTCACATCTCTCACTTCAATTTCGCTCAATCTGAATCCCAATACGTCGACATCAGGCAACACTCCTCTATATACCCACAAAAACTCTCTCTCTCTCTCTCTCTCTCTCTCTCTCTCTCTCTCTCTCTCTCTCTCTCTCTCTCTCTCTCTCTCTCTCTCCCGCCCCCTCCCCCAACCCTCTGTGCCTGTGTGTGTGTGTGTCTATGTGTGCAACACTGTGTATCTGATCTATTTAACAACGTGCTTCCCAGAAGAGACTCGCCCAAATGCCTTCTGGAGAATATCCATAGCCACCCTTCACCAACCGGCGGTTGGAGATAACAACTTGTTGCTTGCTCTTTGCAACATCTTCAGCAAATGACCCTCACAGTTCCCTAGCAGCTAAGGACATTTCCGGTTAAAACTTGTAGAATCCCCGAGCCGCGAGTTTCACAGTGCCAAAGTGCGCAATTGCCAACATGCAACTCAAGGACTGGTCACTATTCCATTTTCTAAACGGACAACATTATCCTGTCTGACTGGACATCTTCACGCCTTCTGTGAGTTGGTTCCTTCGTCCCTTTCGAGCGATCACCTCATGCTTTGGTGATGGCCGTATCGGTCATGTATCTCCCTTCTCGAAGGCCGCCAACCAAACCTTTGCTTTCCAGATGATTAAGCACATACTCACACAAAGGACTTCTTTTATACTTACTTGTGGATGTAATTGCGGTCAGATGCATCCAGGTCTGGCCGTAAATGCGATCACATACATTTAATGAAGAGCCAGTGTGAGTGTACCCTGAAAATCCTTGAGACGGATTGCATACCCACCCAGTGCAGCCATACTGCTCAACGAGTTTACTTTACGGTCATTCAATCCTGACACTTGAGCCAAATCGGAAACAGACAAATGAACGAAATGACAACAGCGACTGTGCTTACGGTCAAGAAATAACAGCTTCCCCTGCTGTAGCTGACCTAAATCTGACCAGTCAGTCAGTGCCCCGATAGGCACTGACTCAGTAAATAGACTGTGAAGCCACCGCAGCAACTGTCGCATAAATCATAACAGAGTTCGTACTTCCTCTGTCATTTTTGGCCCACGTCAGCAACCGCAGTTACCACTGGCCCCCTCTTCACACAGACACACACACACACACACACACACACACACAGAGAGACCACTGGCCCCCTCTTCACACAGACACAGAGAGAGAGAGAGAGCGAGAGGAGAGAGAGAGAGAGGGAGGGAGGGAGGGAGAGAGAGAGAGAGAGAAGAGGGAGGGAGGGAGGGAGAGAAGAGGGAGGGAGCTGCAGTTACTGTTGCTAAAGATCGGAATAATAACCACTGCAGCCGCAGCAGTCAGTGGCCCAACTGCAGCCGTTGTCATTCTGAAGTTGGTACATCATATCTCACAGCAGCATTAGTTACCACAGTAACTGAAAAGGCAGTTGCGAACCCACTGAGCACTTACTGCACCTGCATGGTGAAAAAGGAAACTGCAGGGCCATGGTAGCTGCAGTGTTGCAAACATACCAAGCGTCTATCTGGCACTGTGGAGTGAAGAAGTAACTCAAGGGTCATTAGACACCAAACCACCGTCCGCGGCTGGATCCAACTGCCGTCACTCTGGTCAGTACTCTGGTCGGTGACTTGCGGCTAGAACCAGTCGTTGCTTCACGCGTCTTTCTTAACAAGCGACTGAAATCGCGGCAATACTCAGTGACCAGCAGACCACTTCCCTCATGGAGCAATCCTTTTGGTAACTATATCTACACTGGTTGGCTAGTGGTCAGTTGTGATGGAGGCAGTACCATCATTCTGAAGGCTTGCTGCTCAGCAATGGAGCCATTACCACGACTCTGAAGGGCTGTCAGTCTTGCTGCTATACATATTCCGTTCCGTTAGGTAAAGACTCTAGAGTACCACGACTGTCAGAAATTTCTGCAAGTATATACTGATGGATGCTCCTGCCACACCTAACCAGTCACAACGCAACGGTCCGTTTGCTAATACAACTGACCCCGCATCGACAGGTATCAGTACTGTCCACTCTGTCTCTCATTCCTATTCAAACACCAGTACCACCTCTCTCTCTCCCTCTCTCCCACCACCACCTCTCTCTCGCCCACCAGTCAGTGCATCAAATGGTATCCACAGACGGATACCCTCCAAGAACGAGCACCTCTCATTTTCTCTAAGCGACATCGATAGCCCACTCTTTTCGTCCCACCTGACCCTCTACGAGAGAACCAGTTAAGTTTAGCCAAGACATTGCAGTTCAACTCCGCTGAGACAGGTCCACACTTCGATGCAGGAGAGAAAGATTTCACACTGCCAGGTGGTTCAGACAAGTCCATCAGAATGCAGGTGTGTACAAAGATCCACATCGATCGGTTCATGGCTGGATGGAATTTTCAGGGATGATTAACTGCAGGTTTACCTTCATGGATTATTAACTGCAGGTCTCCCTTCAGGGGATTATTAACTGCAGGTTTGACTGCGGTTTACCTTCAGGGATTATTAACCGCAGGTTTACCTTCAGGGAAACCTTGAGAGTCAACTGGTGAACTGTAGAGAATGGTTGACCACACATCCAGAAGACAAACCGCCGCCTCACGCTCTCTGTCTCGAGCGTACAGAGCACCATTTCCAAGAGCATGTGTCGTGTGAAGGGGGAATGCCACGTAATGCTTCAGACTAAACCCTCCTTTTCCCAGCTGGAGCGTTCCCAGCACCACATGCCAGGAGAACAGTCCAGTTATTGGAGAGATTGCCTGGACACACAGCCAGAAGACAAACTGCCTCGGGCATTTATTCTGTCAGCGACCTACCGCCACCATTTCCAGGAGCTTGCACGAATAGGGGAACGCAACGGTGCATCGTGTTTAAAACACACACCCCCGCCTTTCCCTGCCGAAACCTCTCCCAGCACTGCTGGCCAGGCGTCGGGTGAATACTTGAGCTCTTGAAGCCGGCTCAACCTGTCCACAAAGGCCACAGACAAGTCCCTATCCTTGATCCCGCTGCACCAAACTACAGAAAGTTTCTTCAGGTCCGGAACAGCAGCAATCACTGCTGCAAGTCCAGACACTGACAAAAGAGAGCATCCCTCCAACCGCAGTACCTCCAGCCGTTTACAAACAGCTGTGCGCGCAAACACGTGGTCGTCCAAACCCCAACAGTCGTTGATGTCTAACACTTTGACTTTCACACATAACTGCAGGAGTGCCTCAAATGCTGCCTCCACCCTTAGATCACATCGTACCAACTGGAGGCTCTCAAGACTCTGACAAAATGCTGGCACAACATGAGGCTGCTGCTGCTGCAGGCTTATACTGCTGCCCTGGCGCAGAGCCGAACTTTCCAGATGTTTGACACCTTCTAGCCTAAGATTCTTCAGACACTTGCAAGTTGCAAGGCCCCACAACCAACCATCATGAAATCCTTTTGTGTTAAGCACCAGTTCTTCTAGCATGGGACAAAACTCACCAAGGGCAGATAAACCCTCATACCCGATATCACAACCGGAGAGTTCCAGCTTCACGAGCCGTGAACATCCTACAGCAAGAAAGGTCAGGCCGATATCTGTGACCGATGCCTTGAAGAAGTTGCCAGCCACAGTAGACCCCACGACTTTAACGACCTGCACATTCGGGCACAGACCAATGGCCTCCAGCGTGGCATCGGTGCACTGATGGACTTCTAAACACTGAAGGTACTGACAGCCCTCCATGGCGACCCGTATTCCGGAGCGGACGGCGGTGCTCCGTGAACCCATTGAACAGCAGCTACCAGCACGAGGACTGCCGCAGCTGCTGCTCAAGGGGCTCGTACACCCACTGCTCCGTGAACTGCTACTACGCCCACCGCCGCCACCACTGGTCCTGCGGAAACCCTCACTGAACCGTCCACTTCGGGAAACCAACCTCAGCCTGTCCTCTGGTGACAGGGCGGATGTCGTATCTAGGTCGACAAATGACAGCTTCCTCAGATTGGGGTAGTACTTGGCAAGCTTCTTGAGACCCCCTTCTACAACATCAGATGGTTGTCGCTTCTCGTCGATGCAGTTGGCTATGGAATCCAAGTCTGTGGCTCCTGCGTCAAGCTCGACCTTCAAAGTGTTCATCGTCATCAATATCCCACAGGTTCCATGATGACGCTCAACCCAAGCCTCCGTCAAGTCCATGTCCGTCAGATTAGGAAAGCGCGCAAAAATACGACCACTATAGACAAACTGCCAATCTTTGACCCTCACGCCCCGACGGAGTTCCCCAGAAAGTCGCATCCAACGTTTGCAAACAAGTGCACAAGCCTTCAGATCCCCGGAGTCACTGACAAAGCTTAACACAAGTCTCATCACCTCATCATCCAGCTGGGCCGTGGGATCAAAAAGCCCCGTGGAGGTAGCATAAGCAGAAGGCCACAGCGATGACGACGACGTTGAGGATGACGAGTCAGAATCTTTATCGGACAGGTATTGGGTGGCCAAGGAAGGAGGGCATGCAATCGATGGAGGGACAATAGCAGGCCATGGCCAGGGGATCGAGTGGAACGGACTCAACGGGGACTGAGGAGGAGAGAAGCTGAAGTCAGGTGGAGGTGGCAGGACAATCCCGAGCCGCCCTTTCAAGGTGGTCGGGGGGAAGCAAGGGACTCGCTCATGGTTTGCTTTTGCATCTGAACTAGGCGACGATGTGAAATCGGTTTCCGAAGATGAAGTTGACGATACAGAGACAGGTGAATCAGACTGGGCTGGAGGTAGAATGCTCGAATCCTCCACCGCAGGTGCATTGTTCGTCTGCACTCGCCCCCTACTGCTACACCTGACTAGCATACTGGCACGTTTTCAGCCCTAACACTTCGCGACTCTGCGAATCCTTCTCACTACGGACTATATCAACCGTTACAACCTACGGACAGATCAGCTCACCTTCGAACCCGAGACCTCCACCGCATTACATCCGGGGGTGATGACCCCTGACAACCCTCCCCCATTCACCACACAGTGAACACTGATGTTCTTGCACCAGTTCCTACTCTTACCAGTGTCACAATGGTCGTGACAGAGTGCACTAATACGTGCAGAGCAACAAAGACCCAAACATGAACAGAAACGTGAGGCTAGACCACCCTCAGCGGGAGCAAATACAAGAGACGTCAGGATCATTGCCCACCTTGACAACCCATTTCCTTAATCACGCGCAAAACAACCCTGCTTCTGAGGCAGTTGCCACCTCATAATTGTCACATAAGCAGTGACAGAGCGCACTACAGTAGGACCTGCAGAACACCAAAGACCGAAGAGGGAAGCGAACCTCAGCCTAGAACCCCCTAACGACTAATAAACACAAGAGAGCGAGAGAGAAGGATGAATAAGGGTCCCATGGGACTCGCAATGAAGACGGATATCCTTGCAGGCACTTCCTACTCTTACCAATGTCACACTGGTAGTGCCAGACTGCACTAACACGTGCAGAGCAACAAAGACCAAAACATGAAAAGAAATGTGACTCTAGACCACCCGCAGAAGACTTTACATACTAGAGACGTCACAATTGTGGTCAACCTCAACAACCCATTCCTTCTTAATCACACACCAAACAGTCTGGCTTCAGTGGTAGTTCCCATCCTCATTATTGTCACATCACCAGTGACCGGCCACGCTAGCACCTGCAGGGCACCAAACACCCAAAAAAGGAAACAAACCTTAGTCTCGAACCCTTTAAACTTTAAAGACAAATAAATGCATGAGTCATAAAGAAGCTCTCTCTCTCTCTCTCTCTCTCTCTCTCTCTCTCTCTCTCTCTCTCTCTCTCTCTCTCTCTCTCTCTCTCTCTC